CTGTCACAAAAATCGAATGTTTTGGAAAAATCTAATTTTTGGGAAAATGTATAAATATTCTTTTCATCTCCGAGAAAATTATAAATTTATTGGACAATCTAATAGGATAAAATGTCTACGTACAATAAACAGAAAAGAATTGTATACATGTATATAAGTACACAGTTTTGAGCGACACACTGCTACATTTCATTTGACAGTGTAATAACAATCGATCCAAGAAAGTTACGAATACATCAAATAATTATTATTGTTTTAAAATTTACGACATCTGTAAATATCTATTCGACAAAGTCGTAAAACATCGCCGTAAATCGTTGACCATTTCGTTACTGTCAGTTTTAGCATTATCAACAACACATTTATTAAAAGGACCTCAGGGTTGAATAAGAGAGAATAACGAGTGTTAAAATGATTTTCTTATTTATGTGTTTGATGACGCATGTGTACAAAGACAGAAACTCGATCCTATGTACACGATTAATATCGACTATGATATTAAATTTTCATCGAAATCTGTCTGAGAATCATTCGTTGAAAATTTTCTTCCAATATTTTCTTGAATAATTTTAAATTTTATTTATACGTTGTTGATATTTATCAACAACGTTTAAATAATTTGAATAATAATTGGCAACAGCCTCTGTGGCCTAATGGATAAGGCATCGGTCTCCTAAACCGGGGATTGTGGGTTCGAGTCCCACCAGAGGTAATCACGAATTCTAATTTTTGAAGTTTGAGCATAAAATATGAAATTCCTATAATATTTCTAAAATAAGATAATTACTTGAGATAGTTGAAGTAATTCGTCGCTTCAAATTTATCTAAAATCTAGACTTTAACTTTACTTTATTCCTTGTATGTAATTTTTAATTTCATTCAATTTTGTGTATTTTTCTCACATTGCTTCCAATATCAATATAATTTACTTCGTCGTCCATACAATTTAATTTCAAAACCTGTACAAGTGAAAATTTCTAACTAATCTGCCACAAGGGTGTGGCATTATTCATATATCGCATACCTTGTATTAACCAATTTTATCATTTTCAGGTTATGCGGCAATTTATGAATACGTGGTAAATATAGAAAACTATGTCCTGTGGCGATAATAACGGTAGAACTTCGAAGTAAATCGTTGAAAAAAATCAACTTCTTCGCGTCACATTCCAATATGTGTTCCATCTATCCAATGCATTCGAAACATCTTGCGTGGTATCTCGGTAACATTCGTTTGATATTAAACGAACCGTTGATTTATACATCGCTTCGAGCATCATTTATTCATATTTTCCAAATTCCTTGCACAGAAATAGACATTGTAATTTATTCACAGTGACCCAACTACTGAAACGTTAACTCTTTTCAACACTTCACACGGTTAATCGTGTTTCCCTTCCTCAATAAAATCATGGGAATCAATAATAATTTCCCGTTTCGAGAATTGGCGCGAATTTTGAACAGAGGCATGTGTCCTTTCGTAGCATCCTTCCTTACACCTGCGATAAGATCGGTTCGAAGAGAACACTTGAAACGCAAAAAAAAAAAAAAAAAAAAAAAGACCATGAAACGTACTAATCGAACCACTTCCTTAGGGGTCCAGTTATACCCCTCTAACTATCGCGGTAAGCCATCGAAACTCGTAAAGTGCAAGACAAAATCGCCATAAATGCGTGCGTGACTGAAATATGGCGCAGTAATGTTTATGAGATGCTGTTACTTGTCAGTTACCGCTGAAAAGAATAATAACCCGCGCCTGTTACCACGCCTCGGTACGCACTTATTTATTAATAACAAGTTACACAAATCAAGGTATCGCTAGGCCGGCATGGAATGATAGCTTTTATTCCCCTCGACTCCTCGAGGGTACCCACGTGGGAAAAACCATTGTGCAAAGCAGAACACTTCCTCCCATTTTCCGCATTCTGGTATACAGTTAACGATTATTATTTTCCTTGGAATAAAACACACTTGGCTGAGGACGATCGATCGATGGAACAATTTTTCCTCGATATTTCCAGATCTAGCCATTAATGTTTCTTATTAATTTTTGACGTTGCACGATTCACGCAAAAAGTGAGGTATTATCCGTTTCCAAATGTTTACATTCCTTCTTCATTCTTGCATTGTAGGAATTTATTAATTTTCGATTTATTCGAAAAAGGTTGGACGGTGAACGATGATGCACAATTTCCGGCGATCGAACATCAAGAAGAAAAAGATCGCCTGCCTCCTCAACAATTTTTCTACCCCCTCGAAGAAATCAACGCCTCTGCAAAGAAATCCGATTCCGTAAGGGAAAGGATTGCGGCTCGGTAATCTGTTAACTCGCAGTTGCATATCATACATGCTTGCTTGCGTGCCACGAATCTGTTCCTCCACGAATCTCGCGCGTTAATCCGACTCGATACGTACGTATCCCCGGCATCAGTGTGCACATCCGCAGTTTCGAGGGGCGCGCCGATTAAATATCGGTATATCGGTGGTTACGTTTCCAAGTTGTGAGTTGTCGATCGAGGGAGGAAGGGAGGGATCGTATGCGTATGTGTGTGTATGTGGAGAGAGGGCGAGGCGGTTATTAAGTTAGTCTCAGGGATTCGTTGGGCGGCGCAACGTATGAATTACACGATCTCGGCTCCGTATCGTCGAACGATCATGGGAAATATTTTCCCGTGTGTGGGGCAGGATAGGATGAGGGGGGGGGAGGGGGTGATGAGGACCGAAGGGTGGAGGAGAGAGGTGCTCCCCTTCGACGGGTGAAAGTAATAACAGTGAAACGTGCGCGTACACAACGGCGGGATCACGCACGCTGGCCAGCTCCAGCTCCAGCTTCAGGGACCAGGCTCTCCTCTACGTGACCGGTGCTCGAAGCTATTTTTCGATACGACCGGTACTTAGGTGCACGCCGGGCGCAACAACCGCCCGCCTCTCCCGTGGAAAGGGGATCCTCCTCCACCGCGAGGGGGATCCGACACAGCGTCCTTGGGAAACTCGAGGGGGCGAGGCGGTCAACGACTGGGAGGGATAATTGTGGAACGGATGTATCTACCGTGAAATTCGAGTGAAAACGATCGCACCGGTGCGCGCGATGACTGAGAGGGCGGTGAATGAGAGGAGAGGGTGGTTTAGCTACTTTTCGCTCACCACACTTTCTTCATCGTCTCCATTGTCGAGAGAGCGATTTGTAGAGAGGGGAGAGTGTTATTCTCTCGAAACTTGGGCTCGATGATGATGTCGTCGCGATATCGTTCAGATTGTATCATCTCGGTTTTGATGATGAAAATGTTGGTTGATATGTAGGGGGCGGAGATGAAGAACGGTTGGAGGATTTCTTTTTTTTTTTTTTTTGGATGGTGAAATGTTATGATGATAGGTGAAAAAGAGGGAAAGGGGAGTGTAAAAATGATGAATTCTTATTCGCGGTGTTTCAACGCATGTAATATTGTTTCGTCGAGGGGGTGAGAATGTGGGCGAAAAGGTGAATGGTATAATAATCGAAGAAGTTGTTATATACGTTGCTTTTCATAATATTGAATCAAAATAAAATTTTTTATATATATTTTTAAGTGTTTTTAAGATAAATTTTCATAAATGTTAGTATCGTTGGAAAAATATTTCTGAAAATCGATGAAGAAGATTACGTTCGTTCATCGTCGAAAAGTTCTTAGAGTTTAAAGACACTTTCGTCCATTCGATTATGAATAATTTTGTCAATATTAACATTGTCAAAGAAAAAAAAAAATAACTATTTTTACTGAAAAAATTTCGAAAATTTTGATAATAAAAAAATTGTAGAATATGCCAAAATCGAATTCGAATGTTTATACGTATTAAAATATTAAATTCAAAATAATATCGACAAAATTTTTCTCGAGATTAAAGATAAAACTGTTTGATAAAACCTTATTCAAAATAATTTGAACGCGTTTCAAAAATCCGTTTGTACCGCAATAATATTTGATTATACAAGAAATGAATCTTACGCAGCTCGTTTACATTTGCGCCTTAAACGAAACGTTCGATGCGACAGTTTGAATTGCGACACTGTGGCTCGAAGAAGTTGCTGGCATCTAAACTATCGTATAAATTTGCGATATCGCCATGTATCTTATATACATATATCTATATTATATATATATATATATATATATACATATGCATGTATAAAAATATTATGTGCGCAGGATATACGGTGGAATAGGCGGGCGTGTCCATGGATACATATATATAAGTGGAAAGCTTGGAGGAGGAAATCGGGTCACGCCGAAATATTTTTGCGCGCCTTTCCACTTTAGGTTAGGTACGATGTGAGCGCACGAATTATAGAACGTATACGACGAAGTTTCCGCACATGTGCAAAGCACTCGAAGATGCTTGCTACAATTATGATCGGTTTGACGCTTTTATGCGCAAAGTTTTGCGGGGGATGGTAAATTTTAATGCTTAATATATATCGATAATGGAATTTTGTAAACTCATCGTATTTCGCGAATTGATTAATTAATTTTATACGATACGCAAAATATTGGAGGATTTTAATCTTCTTTAATTGTAATATAATTTATTAATTTGTATGTAAGATTATTTTTTTTCATCGGTGTTAAAGAAGATTCGTTTGTTCGAATGATTTTTTTTAATTGGTTGGAATTGAATAATTTTAACTGTAAATTATATTGCTTTTAAGATTAAATACAATGACCTAATTTAATAGTAGAATTAATGGCTTATGTATTGATTAAATATTAATTTAAATAGGTATTTTAAATATAAATTATGGTAATTGGAATATTATAATGAAAACAAATATATGTAAGTAATTATTTTTGTTTTCCTAATAAAATACATGTTAATCTCTTAACTTTTTCAAAAATATCTACATATTTTCAATAATTATAAATTATAATTATTGGAAAATAATATAATTATAAATTATAATTATGGAAAAATATGAAAATCGTAATTTTTATAAATTCTAGTAATTAATAAGGAGAGATACTTACGAATGGTTTTTCAACACAGTCTCAATCGTGTTAGTGGCGACAGACCAAATGAAAACGGACCCGTCTGAAGAACCAACCGCTATGTACTGACCATCTGGACTAAAAGTGGCTCGTGTCCAGTCGAAACCGACTTTAAACCCATCGGCGCTAAAAATAAAAGTAATTTCACTTCAATAATTATTACAAAGTTAATTTTAAATATTTTATCAATGAAACTTTTGAAAGACTAATAATCTTGAACGATTAAAAAATAATTATTTATTAAAATTAATTTTCCTTTTTTTTCTAATATTTTGTTTTATCGTCATTTATGATAAAAATCAGTAGTATAATAAATATATAAATTATTTAAAATATAGTAATTTTAATTATAAATGATCCACAATTGGCTAAAAAGAATTTATTAAGTTATTACTACGAAATATAAAATAAGTAAAAAATAAAAATCTGTTTTTATCTTAACATCTATAAAATTTTTCTATAAAAACCACTTACCTAAATGATCCAATGATCTTCTTCATCCGCAGATCGATGAGTTTCAACGTATCATCTCTGACACAACTCAAAAGGTAATTTGCATCTACAAACAATCAGATATCGCTACTTAAATCAAGTTAAAGTTTAATTAATTGTGATAATATGATTATACAAGGATGATAAAAGAAAAAAAAAAGAATTTATAACTTCTTCATATCAACAATTCGTTTGTTGAAGATTACTTTCGAGAAATCTCTAAAGAAATTCAAATCATTTTTCATATCTTATTTAAAGAAATAATATATTAATCGAAACAAAAAATTGTTTAAATATATTAATTATTAAAATTTTCTTTCATTATTTATCGAGTATTATTTTGAAAGTTACGAATTCTTTTTTTTTTTATCACTCTGCATATAAAAAATTGCATATGATCAATTTGAATAAATAATCGATTAAATTCAATTGTGATAAATTTTTTGTGAGTTCGTGTTACAATAGCAACGAAGAAATACTTTCTTCTTGAAATTTATAAAAAAAAAAGTAAGTAAGTAAGTAAGTAAGTAAGTAAGTAAGTAAGTAAGTAAATAAATAACTCTTTTTTCGAGATATATAAATCTTATAGGGAGACGTTCGAGAAAGGTTTCATTGTGAATCTAGCGGCCATTTCCCAAGGAATGGTATATTATACTTTAATGGAAGTATACATAATGTATTACGGTGAATGATAAAGGAAAAGCATTAGAGTGGCGCAATGTAATCGAACAGAATTTTACAGTCTTAGCGATATCGTTTCCTTCGAATTTTAGTTTTATATCACCGAAATTACTCGAGTGCAACTTTCGAAAGAATTCTTTGACAAGTTAATCTTTCCAAAGAAAGCATGATTTTTCCAATTATAATGTAATGGTTTTAAATCATCAATTTAAATGTGGCCTAAAATTAAATTAATTATAGCAACAGATAGAATAAATTACATCACAGATATTCTACAACAATCTATGTGAGAAAATAAATAAAAAAATATAAAATAAAATTTTTCCACTTATAAACTCATTCTTGAAATTTTGGAGAAAATTTTCTTATTTTAAGCGATCATATAATTCGTTCAATCCATTATTATTCATAAAAATTTGAAATTTTAGTAAATGATAATAAATTTAATTTTTTAACATTTCACAAAAAAATACGCAAGATTTGGTAATAAATTTCATGGGAATTTTCAAAATTAATTATCAAAGTGTATCAGAGTATAATATTTGTGCTTTATAGTTTATTCAAAAGCTAAAAAAATTACAAAACTTAAGGTATTTTATTTTTTAATTATTTCATTTTACCCATTTCTATCGATTAAGATTTTCATTATTTTTAAGATTTTATCGAACACAATAAACCGTTTAACTGCGTGTAACGGTAACGATAATGCTCAGCTTTAATTAATTCCAGATTAACAGAAATACTTTGAAACCTCATAATAGCGTAATTCGAATAATAATTCAAGTTGAATTACAAGTTCCGCGAATTTCGAACAAAAGATATTAAATCTCCCTCGGGATAATATTTTTAAACAATGATAAAATCTTTCCAATGATAAAACCTTTTAATTATGAAATGTAACGTAAAAAAAAAAAAGAAAAAAAAGAAAAAGAAAGAAAAAAAAAACAGTTAAAAATTCACGATTTATTTCCCTCTTGGAGAGGAAAATAAAAAGATCATACAAACTGAATATCATTTTTAACGCGTGCTCGCTGTATATCTTAACATTCCTACGATACAATTTCTTATAGTGCTTGCAGCCTTTTTTATGTCCATGCTTCAAATGTTTGCATGCAATACGATTCCTCGAGTTCTACAAGTTGAAACATTTTCATAATTCAACATCTGTCCGTCTCCCCACAAGTTTGAATATTTTCCTTTGATGCCTGCATCAATGCACAAAGTGCATTCAATATGACTGATTAACAATTTCGCGAACTCCGATATATTTTCTCTTTGTCATGAAGATGATGGACCGAGGTATTATTTATTCTTCTCTACGTTTCTCTCTCATCGTTTCATTTCTACGTTTCAAATGCTTGGGATTGTCGTAGAAAATTTTATTTATTATTATTTTTTTTTTAATAATTATATTTAATAATTACAAAAACATCTGGACACTTTTATTTTCAAAGATTTCAATTTTATAAATTTCGAAAGTTTTATTTATTTTATTATTTATCATTAAAAAATTTTAAAATAATAAAATAATTTTAAATAATTTTAAAATAAATTAAAAAATTTTGTATAATAATCAAAATAAGTGATAAGTCGTTAAATCAGAAGAATATGACATTTATTTTTTTTTCTAATTATTTTTTTTATAATTGAAAGCATATATAAATGTAATCTTTCTGTTATTAATTTATCACATATACTGGCTATTTGTTTAATCTTGCATATCATCTGATTAATTATTTCCTCCAGTTGCACTTGCCATGATTTAATTTTATGTGAAAAGTTTATGACAAATGATTCTTCTTTGCAACTGGCTTTCCAATCTATCATTATTTATTCAGATAATATCTCAGCCGATAAAGTTATATAATTTATATACGTATAAGTTTATAAGATGAAATATTCTGAACATACAAAAACGAAACTTACCACGAGATAAATCCAACGAAGTGACCTTTCCTTCCAATAAAATGTCATTTGAGCTGGACTCGGCTCTTGTATCCCAAAATCTAATTCTATGGTCAAAATGGCCGCTAATTATTGTAGAGCCCGCACCGTCTGAAGTTACAAGATCGTTGCAACTCGAACCCGCAAACTTTGTTTCTATACCTGCAAACAAACAAGATTTAATTCAACACCAAATATCTGAGTTCTTATTCATTTATAAATAATCATTCTATCATTCAGCAGTATTCGTATATTATTTTATACTGCAACGTGAATAAAAACATTTGCACATTTTTCATTTTGCGAATAAAATGAATAAAAAAATTTTCATTTCAATTTTCTAAACGGGACAATAATTATAAATGTACCGTTACATTGGCGCGTGTATTGGCGTGATAAATCTTAAAATTACAAATTTATAGAGCCATTCCAATTGGGGAGCGGTGTGAAAAGAACGAAATCTCATTTCTCGGTTCGAAATTTCAATCAGATCGCGTCGTGTTCCCGCGTATTCACATAAAATCTGCTTACGTCGGTACACCTAAGTTGACGGGTATGATGCATTACCACCAAGTAATTGGACCCAGTAATTCCATCTTCATAGGAAGCACGGTTGCCTCAAGCGATATCGATAACCGGCGTATCGTCGCTGTAAGTTCGACAAGCTAATTGATCGCCTAGTAAATCACTTTTGATTTAATGTAGATCATCGGCAACAAAGTAAAACGGACAATCGTATGCGAAATTCGTAATCGCGCGTCGGATACGGGCAGTCGTTTCAACGTTATTTATTATCGTTTTCGAAACCGTGGTTATTATTTCGATATACGATTTATATTGTGACAAGAGTGTTTTCAAGTGTAACAAAAATTTCTTTGATAAGTTTTAATTGCAGCTAATTTTTAACAATTCTGTTATAATACTTGAAAAGTAATTGAATAATTGTAATTTTTTTATAAGAAAAATTTAAGATGAGTTTTCAAAATTAAAATGAACAAATTCTTTTAATTGTTTTATTTTTGATTATCATCTCTTATATTTTTTTGATATTTTGTACTATACTAAAAAAAAAAAAAAATGAATATTTGAAAATATATTATTTCAAAATCTGTTGACGTAGAAAGAAATTCATTTAATGGCCATTTAATATCTGATTTTGAAATTTTGTTTGAAAATTCAGAAATAGTTGGACAAACTTTTTCAGTAACTTTTTCAGTTATAATACAAGTTTTAATCTGTGTTTAGTGTCGCGTTTACTTTAAAAGATGAAGATAGCAGTTTTAAGGTAAGCAGTAGATTTGTAATTTATCCGATTTGCAATTTCAGTGTCAAAGAGTTTCTATGTTGAAGCGCGTTGATTCTCAAGAGTTGCGCGGAAATGCCGACAGAAACGTCGTTTCCTGAAGTAAATTAAGCTTGAAATCTTGCTTATTACTTTGTGGATATCGATGGAAACGACTGTAGTCTGAGAACTACAATTTAAAAGAAGAAAGCATTTGTAATTTTAAACACATTTAATCTTTATCTCCTCGGATAAAAACATTTATTGCCTAAAGATTCTTAAATCAAATTAAATTATCCTACCTATTTATCATGAATTTATACTTTAAATTTAAAAATCGTGTTACTGTAAACAAATTCTCTAATCTCAAAAGTGTTATCGAGAATTTTAAATATCAAATTCTATTTATTAATAAATGTGGATTGATAAAATTCTCAATGTGTATTAATTACACGTTTATTGTCTTCTAATTGAGAAGTTTAAACAAAATAATAACTTGTTGTTATTTGTTATATTTATTGCACAGATTTCCATTTCAAATTCAAAACTGTTGAAAATATTTACAGAATGGGTTAATTCGTCAACAATGTTATAAACTATTGAATTGCACGTATATCTAATTTATACACATTTTCTATTTCCTTCGTTACACGTTGAATCTAAAGTACCTAAACGTTTCTCGACGTCGATTCACTTTTCCTGCTTCTACTCGTATTAACCAAGAAAGCCTCTCAATGGATTACAGTTAACTATAAGCACAAGCGCTTTCAATCTCGCAAACGTGCTCCCTTTTTGTCAGTTTTCGAGACTGATCTACATCTTTCCAACTTCAACTTGTGTAAAACGACGACGTAAAAGCACATACTGTAAAACGAATGAATAACGAACGCTTCAAATATGAATGATTCGTATATACATAAACAATTACATAGAAATAAATGGAAAAATACGAAGTAGAATTTTTTAGTTATTTGAAGTATCACTTCATCGATCTTCGTTTCTCACAAATTCATAAATAAATAAAAATATAAATTGATCTTGCTCCATATTATTAAGAATAACTTCATACGGGTATAAAGATTAACTGTTGCAATAATCTTGAGAATCATTAATACACGATTCTTAATTTCTTTTGAATGTGATTATATATATGAAGAGACGGAGGAGATACTTTGAGTATCAAATCTGACCCAATTGTCGCCAGATTTCCCTCTGTTCATTAAGTATTTAAACGTCTATAAACAGAAACAACTGAAATTTGAATGGAATAAGCATTTCGCGGCAGATGTTTCCGTAAGCCGACACAGCTGCGAAACGTTAACAAGATGATAGGGAGGTGTAGCGGCAAGGAAGGATAATAATAATCCGATAGAAAACAGCTGATCCACTTTAAGCGTAGTTTTTTTTTTTTTTTTTTTTTTTTTTNTTAAACCGTGCCGCGCTTTAAACAATAATTCACGGTTAAACGCGCTTTCAGCAGCGCCCCCTCCCCCCCATTGTCCTCTCCTCTTGCGAGATTTATTTGCGCAAAACTTTTGTACACCTCGCCCACCTTCGCCCGCCTTTCCCTGATAGCGAAGCCTCGATTTTCACTATTTTGCGCGTGGAACGACAAAAGCGTGGGAACGGACGTCAAGTGTGACGTTTGTATATGTCAGTGTGTATCAAACAGTTTATCCCGGATCTACGAAATTAATTTTATTTCATTAGAGTTATATTATTTTATTAGAGTTTTTTTTTTTTTATTATTTTATTAGAGTTTAAACTCGTGGGAAAAATGTACTAATTTTTTTACGGGAAGTAACGGGTTCGAATTGCGCGCCATGTTGGATTTATTCGAAGCCAGTTTTTTATATTTATATCGCGTAAAGAGAGAGAGAGAGAGAGGGGGAAGGAGGAGGGAGAAGGAGAAGAAAGATGAGAGAAGGAAAGGAGCGCTCTTGTGCCTCTCTGTTGAAAAAGAAAAAGAGGAGAAAGAAAAAGAAAAGAATTGAAGTTTCGCGTCTAGATTTCGTCGAGTGCTCGTATTCGCCTGGGACAAGTTAGCAAAAGGGCTTCACTTTTTGCCTTCAACGAGTACGCGACCCGTTCTCCATTATTGCACAGAAATGATTCTGGAATGATTCTAGAATTGTCTGCAAAAGTTTGGATGATATATTATATAGCTGTACCGTGCAAACGTGTTCTTTCGATGCGAGAAAAAAAAGAAAAATATTTGAAAATATTTTATTTCGAAAAATTATTGAGAAGCTTCGTGAAATCTTATGCGAAAAAAATTTTTAATTTGATTTAAATTCCAAGTTGATTCAAGTCGGTCGATCAAAATTATTGCAGTCAACTATGTATCATTTTCTAGACGATAATTCTAATTTTTTTCAAATTGGAGCATTTTTCAAAACATTTCAAATAATTAGATTAACATAAGAGGTAATTACATTCGAAAAGATTGAATATCGAATTGGTCACTAATATATCATCTTTTCTCAAACGAAAATAAGCCAATAATCTGAACGAGCCACTGAAGGATAAATTATACAATATCATCCTTCCAGTCAGATCTTGCGAATTAATACGACCGTTCCACTATCATCCGCGACAGGCTACACCGTGTATACTTTGTCAATAGTGCCCCACCCACGTTGGCCACCCACCAAGTTCGATTGTAGCAATGTTGACCATAATGTAAATCGATATCTCGAACGGGTTCTTCGAACGATATGGTTTCACGAGATTAGTGAACCGCCTGTTGGGGAGGGGGAGGATGTAAATCCCGCGTACATTTGCAAACCGTCCACCTTTCATTGGCTCGGCTCATATCAGTCGGTCACATCCCTCCCGTCGTTCAATTTACTTTTCTCACCCTTTAAAGCTACCCCTATTTGCCGAAAGCGATTCACGTCGCCTGTACCCTCGCGGAATAGCCACTTTCGCCGAAAAAATTATCACTTTGCCACCCTTTTCTTTAAAGCGCCGCTTATCACGCGAGGATCGCGTGTGCCTCGAAAATTGTTGGAAAGGGGATAAGGATCCCTGGATGCGGCCGTAGATCCACACGAACTACGATCTGTATATTTCATTTTCCTCGGTCCGAATCGGTTGTAAATAATCGGCTTATCCTTCCCTTTTTAAATCGTCAATCCGGTAATAAAAATCCTGCTCGACATAATTTCTTACGTGGATATATATATACATATATATATATAAGGTGTTTCCAAAGAGATTCTGCGGTAGCAAAATCATTTTTTACGATAAAAGGCAGGGGATAAAAATTGGGTGGTTTGAGGAACGTCAATTTCATCGATCGAAATTCGATTTGAAATTTGATTTCAGATACATTGATTTAAATATTTTTTATTTATTTTATTTTATTTTATTTTATTTTGTTTTATTTATTTTTTTTTTTTATTTTATATGTATTCAGCATGGAAAATATAATTTATTGTCGTGTATCGTACATTTTGACGGATTTAAGCACTGAAACGTAAAAAATGAAATATATTCTCGTTTTTTTACGAGAATTATTTAGAAAAGTGTGGGAAAAAAAGTGATTTGCTTGAATTATTATTTAATTATCTTATGGTTCATGTATATATTAATTAGCTAATTAATATGAAAATTTAATATCTTTGTGCACCGTGGAATTTTAAAATGGCCAAAATATAAAAATTTTTATTATTTTATCTTTTATATAGACATGAATTGTCATTTTATATGAGAGACATAAAATGGTGAATTAAAAAATTGAATTTATTACAGTAGTTAAAAAGTTTTCTATGTCACAAGCATCATTTTTGCACAATTTTATTATGAAATCCTATTAAAATTGTATAATTTTTTTTTAAACTTTGTAAAAGTATTATTTCGTTAATTCTATATATATATATAATAAGATTAATCAAAATGATAGAAATTTTATATCAAAAATTGAAATATTTAAAGTTATTAAGTCCAAAAAAAAAAAAATGTCAGATTGTCAAATCTTGAAAATCAGAAAGAAAAATCACAAGAATTCCTTGTTTTCTCAAATAACCTTTTCTAAAAAGTTCTAAAATTACTGCAATAAAAAAGATATTTTTTTCCAAAAGACTCTTTCTTTTATGACAACCATGACTTTTCGTGTAAAAATTTTACAAAATTTTCCTTCGTTTCTTTCTATAATTCCATCTTCCACCTTCCAAAACAAGTATTTGCAAATCTTTATAATAAAATCTCGCGAGAACTTTTAACTATTATAAAAAAAAAAAATATACAAAATCCGTAATTGAATATGAATCTTGTCACGAATCATCATTAATACCTCGCCTCTTCTTCATTTTTATATCCATAAAAGTTGAGAGTTTAATTTGATATTACAAAAAGTGACGGGCAATTGAATCCCGACCGGAATACGAATAGTGGAATAGTTCTTTTCAAAGAACTCTGCAACGGAACATATATCAAATCGAAAGATAAGGGATGACATCTAATAAAAGAAATCGTGTATTGAAAGCATTATCGAGCTGAATATTTCTCGCGTAAACGGCTGACAATTTCCGCATCCATACAAATTGATATTGCGCATGGTTTTATTTCTATGCGGTGTACGTTCCCAAAATAATTCCCAATATTTGTTCACCGTTGTGATGTAAATGTTTGAATAGTAAATATACCATGGATGAATTATTTTCGTCCACGAATATACACATATAATCGTGATCAATTCAATGGAAGTGATACGAGTTTTTTCACTATTCTTATTATCATTATTATTATTTAGCATCGAAATACGCTCGTATTATTACTTTTTCTCCATGTATGCTTTTCCTCGATACGCGTTATCGAAAAAAAAAAAAAAAAAATAAATAAATAACTCAACTCGTGTATAATCCAAAGTAAATCTCTATTTTTATAAACGAATTACATAAAAATATTCACGTAACTAGGTCCGTTTTGATAACTTTGTAAATATTGGTTTTACAAAAATTGATACAAATCGAAATATACTATACAAAAGGCGACATTTGGAGTAATACGATTATACGTTTTCAATTTTTCGTTATTTTCAAATTTTCAATTTGTATATATATTTTTTTCGTTATGGAACTATTAATAAATCCAATAATTATTTATTTAAAATAAAATAAAAATAATTGATATTGATTATTATATTAAGTATCAATAATGTTAGAATGTTATGTCACATATAAGATGTTAATAAATAGCATAATATTTTTAAAGAATATTTAACCTGTTTCTTGAAAAAAAAAGAAAATTTCTTGTTTAAAAGAAAATTAGCATTCTTATACATTCATTCGTATATAATTTATATATTATATATATTTAATACCAGGAGAATATAAAATAAAATATAAAATAATATAAATATAGATACAATATAATTAAAATATATTAGAATAGAATTCAATGCAATTAATGATATTCATATTATTATACGAAGAATCATAAACATTCAATTCGTGTGAAAAGAATATATTTATATCGCTTTTTTTAGAAGAAAAAAAAATATTACGAGAAATTTCAAAAGTTCCTTGTTGCCTCCGGTAAAAAATTAAAAACAATGAATATTAAAAATATCGCGTCGCGCACTTCTTTTTTAAGTTCTACAGTTTTGAAAGAAAAGAAAAAGAAAAGAAAGGGAGGAAAAAAGAGGAAAGAAGAGGAAAAAAAATCAAATTTTCTTCCCAACGACAACGACACGTTATTATACATCTTCGTTAACGGTCTGTGTACAAGCAATTTGCATTTCATTAAAATTTTCTTCTAGCGAAATTACACAATTTAAAGCAGTGAACGGACGATTCGGAATTTTTCGGAATTTCAAAAAAGAAAAAAAGAAAGAGAGAGAGAGAGAGAGAGAGAGAAAAACTTCGCCAACTTTTGCATTGAAGAATTAACGGCTGTCTCGTTACAACAACCGGATCTAAATTAAATTTCTTCTGTTCGCAACTTCCGTTTAATCACCGATGCCATCCACCATCAGAATGGAGAGAGGAGGGGGGGGGAGGGGAGAGGGGCATTCATCCCGCATGAATTTACCAATTTCTTATCGGCCCCTTCTCACCGGCAAACATCATCCGTTAGGGCCGTCAACGATCAGGAACAAAGAGGGCCGACCCGTGACAAGAAAACTGCACTGTTGGAGCAGAGTTAGAAAAGATTTCGTTAACTACCGATAAGAGCGTTATCGTGTTAATTAATCTCACGAAGTGACGACGGGACGAAAAATCGAACTTTTATTCGATCCCTTTTACCTTGGCACCAAGCTCATCGATTTGAAACTTTATTATCAAGGATCGTCAAAGGCAAAGTTTCATATCGATTCTCTAGATAGTTCGACCAATGAATTTTAAAATATATGCGTTATAAATATAGCGTAAGTGATCTTTATAAACTCATCTTATCACACGTTACACCTCGCATTATTAACTTTAATTATCCAATAAATGATAAAACTTGATTGCGCACTCTTTTGTACATTACAGCTTTTATATTTGTCCGTAGAAAGTTTCCGAAGAAATACGGTTCCACAAATATATTAATATCCTATCATCGGGGATATTACAAGAAAGAGGAATATCTTGAATCGATCGTGATAATCTATGAAAAAAGGGGGGAGGAAAAAAAATGATTCGATGTTTATTCGTTATTAAATGAAATAGTGAGTAAGAAAAAAAACAAGTGGTCATTTAGAATTGTTATTTTTGATTTTTTTTTTTTTTTTAAAGATACTGGGGGGCATCTTTGGATGGAGTAATACCTCTTTTATGTACCATATCTTGCAAAGTTATCTTACAACTCCGTCGACGCTATTTTAGATTCCTCTGTTATGGCAACGTTATGCCTCCTGATGACTCGAATTAGGCGTGTAATGGTTTTACGAGCGCTCGTAAATAAGGGAAAGCAACGAGACGATGCTGAGAATCGAGTATAAAGGTGCGAGGAAATTGAACTATCTAGTTGCAAAGAATTTTTTACGTTAATAGGCTATTACGTCAATATGAGGCGGCTTTGTAATTTATAACATTAATAAATAGGGAAAGATAGCTATCAAAATATGTTAATCTCAAAATATCCTCGTCATGGTACTATTAATTTCAAATGTTTTATATATATATATATATTTTTTTTTTAATTCAAATTCAAATTAACAACTATAGACGAATAATTTATTTATACTTTCATGTGCGAGGAAAGATTATATTTTTAAAATAAATTATATCTTATGTGCCCAAAAATATAATGAATCTAAGATTGGATGTAGAAAAACTAGAAAGTATCTTTAACAGTTTAAAACGCGTATAATTAAAATATTAGACCGTAAAAGAATTTAAAACGAAAATGACTAGATAATAAGTTATACATTCACATGTATTAATTTCACGCTTTAACGCTTAGAAAACGCCTGTAATGTTAATTCCTTGAACTATTTATTTTATTGAAAATCGAACTACCAGGTAATGATACAATATTTTAGTCGCTTAAAAAACTGTGTAAAAAATACAGTGTCTAATTACAAAAAAAAAAAGACTATCTATATTTCTATCAATATTTCTTTTACTTCTTTTTTATTTTAATAGTCTTTTTAATAAAGCGTATGAAAATTTCTCTTCAATATTCTTAATAATATTTTCACAACATTTGTGTAATATTTGGATAAAAAAAGTTGTAAATCTAAATCCAAAATTTAAAGATTTAAAGATGTTATATTTTTTTCTTCTGTTCCTCTGCAAAAATATAAAACTTAACAAAATCCTTTTTTATAATCTGCTAATAACTTTACGACAAATCGTAGCAGCAAAATTTCACATAATTTTTCCTCTTATTTTCACTCGTGCAAAGCACTTGTTGATTATTCAAAAATACTTTATATGCATAAAAACACTGCGTATACACGTACGAATATTCAGATTCATGATTCTTTTAAATTCCAGTAAATATATTAGCATTATTCATTTTTGGAATTATTGGATTAATGGAAATAATGAGGAACGTGATTACCAGTAATACTGTGCATTATTTTCTGTCTACACATACATATATATATATAGTGCAACAATGTTCTGATCACGAATAAAATATCAGAGTATATACTGATTATATACTAAACGTTTCCTATTTATTTGGCACCGGTTACTTACACGCTTTGCTACGCAGGTCCCAAATTTTTAGGGTACGATCGTAACTGCCAGTAACTACTTTTGAAGGCTCGCCAAGAAACTTCGCAGCCATCACCTTCCCGCAGTGGCCCGTTAGAGTGTGCTGAAACAGAAATGGAAATGTCGTTTTGGAACATTTACCAACACGTTCTGTGTGATAATAGGATCATTTGTATTGTACGTGACGTATTAAAGAAGATTGTAGTAACAATTGGTACTTGGACTTTCCACTCGATACACACACATTATCACAATGGTTGCAATGATGGCCAGGATTTTATTCGAATAGAATAAAATTTTATCCCTGGCGAATAAAGATTATGAAAATAATAATATGTACACATATTGGTTTTTGATATAACTATAATATATAATTTTCAACCTATTTCAGTTTAAACATATTAAACAAGCTATATATAGAAAAAGATTTTAGTTTTCATAAAATTGATATTTCAAATAAAATATACATGTACAATTAAAAAATATATGAATACATAGAAAATTATTGAGAATATTAATAGAATATTTTAATTGATAATAATTGTATCAATTTCGATTATGTAAATGCGATTATGTAAATTCTTATTAATCATGGTTGACACTCTCAAAGATGTATGCTTGTATCCTAATATACAATCTCCATTAATTATTTTTATTTAAATGATATGACTTTTAATAATAGTAATTCTAATAATAAATTTCACTTAAGTTTAATATTATCAATTACTTAATAAAATTATTTAATAGAACTGATTCAAATATTAAAAAATAAAATTTAATACAAATTTTAAGAATATTATTTTCGATATTCTTCTTCTAAAAGATATATAATTAATTAAAATTAAAACTTCGTAATACAAAACCCTTTTCCAATTATCCAACATGAATTACAATACAGAAAATCTTGCGCATAAAAACATCACAAAATGGAAAAATCAGATGACAATCTTCCATTGACGTTTCCCAGTGTGAACAATAAAAGAGCAGGAAATAAAGGACTAACAAAATTATCCGAGCGAAACACACGACACTTCTTTCGGTGTTTAATGGTAAAGAATTCAAGCGCAACGTCGACAAGGGAAACACGAACTCGGGGGCGTTCCTTTCCCGGGGAGAGAGTGGCGTGAAAAAGAAGACTTCACCAATTTTAAGGTACACGGGCGTTGGGAGCTCTTGAAAAATGTCCTAATGTAAATTAATGGGCCAGAAGTTTAGCCAGAAGGGCTCTAACGCAAAAGAAACACAGGTAGGAGAACGTAGCCCACCCACCCACGTTATACGAGTCAAGAAAAGAACTTTTTCCACTTCCGGAGGTGGAGGTGGGTAAAGGAAAAGAGAGAGTGAATCGGGCTATACTATAATCCAACGTCTCGAGAAGTTGGTCTAAAGTGCAGAGGTGAGTTCTCCCCCCCGTTTCTTTACAGGAACATTAAACGATCCTCTTTCCCGATTGTCCTCCACCCAACGAGATTCAAACTTACGATTGCACGCCCTTTCTCGATTCTTATCAGATTCGACATTCCTTTTTCTTCCCTTCACGAATGATGTAGATAATACACACGTAAATTTCCAAGTAATATCTAAGTAAATTCTAAAATGGGTATTTGTTATATCACCAATGTTTTGTCTTATTCTCAACTTTTCTCTTACAATTATCATTAATGAATAATTGAATATAATCACACAAATAATATAAAATACAAATATCTATAAATTCATGTCTTATATGGATACTTGAATATTTCATGATCAACGATGCAAAGATCGCAAATATCGGCATTATCATTTAATTAGAAGCTGAACGAAGGGTTACAAGATCGTTCGATCGATGAAACTGCTTGTCCACGTATTGCTTACTAGGCTATATTAATATTCGGCAAGCATCTATTACCGCGAGCGAGAATCGATTGTTCTACGCATTCTAGCGGTGTTTCCAGGTATTATGTTCGGTGGATCAAATAATACTACGTTATTTAAATTTAATTATTATTTTTCTTTAAAATATTCATACGTTATAATTAATATAATATGATATACGATTTTTATACATTGGAATTAAATATTTACTCATCATAATTTATGTTAAAATATTTAACAATAATTTCTTAAACATTTTTTTAAAGTTTTCTGATAGATCGATATTTTATAAACGAAATTATGTATGTTCAGGTAAAACTGAATACGAAAAGAAAAATATTTAACATATTTATTTATGTCGTTTATATAAAATATACAAAACACTAATGTGAAAAATATTTGCATGAAAATCAAATGTAACTTTTTATCCTTGTCAGTCCAATAACAAAGAATAAATTGATTGAAATGTGAATGAAAATTAATAATTGATATAAAAAGAATAATTCCATAATAAAAAAATTTGATATTGCAAAATGCTTCAGAAATAAATAACTTTAAAAATTCTATACGAAATACACATAATATAATTCCATTGTTATTAAGTTAATTAATATCGATTTAACATTTCTAATTTTAATTTCGCTATATCTTCTATATGTAAAATATAAGAAACATTATGATAGAAATAAATATGTCGTTTTTGTGCAGTTCGAAATGAAAATGTAACATCAGATAATGCAACAGTGTTTTGAAATTGATTTACCATGGTTATACAGGAGATAAAGAAGAAATATATGAAAGAACATGAAACATGTAAGCTAGATAATAAGAGTTCGTAGACGGTAAATCTCTGACTAAGATCTTACATAATCATGTAGTTTAAAGAAATAGATAAGAATGGATTTGTAAGAATAATTATAATAGAAAGATAATTTAAGATTATATTTGAATAAAATTATGATACAATGATTAATAATATGAATTAATAAAATGTTAATGAAGCTTATTACACGTTATATATATTAAATTATTTCATCTCGTGAATCACATTATACTGTTAAAAAATGTTTAAACATATTCAGAAATTAATAATAAGACAATATATTCTGATAAACGTACATAGTACTTTATTTTTTTTAATACTATCATATATAATTTAATTAATATTATATATTATTATCAAGAATATTATGAATACTTGAAGAATACTTGAAAAAGTTTGTCAATGAATCAATTACAAATAAGAATTTCCTTCTTCATAAAATTACAGTAGAAAAAGGACACGAAACATATCGCAGATAAATAAACGTGAAAAATAAAAATTGACCATTGACTATTACATTGGATTAAAGTTTCACACAGTTTCAGTAAAAAAAAAAGAAAAAACTAATAAAGAATAAAGAATCGGAAGTAATTTCGTTTCAAATCCAAGCTACCACGAAAAGAGGAAAAATAATATGGCGGTTTCAGTGAAACCAATGGCCCAGTTAACTTACTTAATATATATATATATATATATATAAAAGCGTTACATAGCCTTTTTTTCCAATCGTGGGATTCAACGATCGTGGCCATTTTTCCACCAAAGAAAATCACAGGGCAACGATTCGCCAAGTGCTTTTATCGTCGCAGTTTTTACTGCTCTTCCCTTCGACGTTGCACGTTGGTAAGCAAGAAAAAAAAAAAAAAAAAAAAGAAGAAGGAGAAAAAGAGGTTTTCGAGTGTTTCGTTCGCGTTTCTGTTTCGCCTCTGAACCGTGTTACATTGCCTACAAGAAGCCTCCTCTTTCGAATCCATCGCGTTATACAACGTTCCTGGAATCTAGAGACCAAGATTCACGAAATATAGCTGATATCGTCTTTTTACGACGAACAGGGAGAGGAGAGGGAAGGGGGAGCAAGACGTGTACCAGATGCATCCTTGCAATAAAGGTATAAACTCTTTCGTAGAGTTCCGTGGAGGGTGAACTCGGCGAGATTCGAAGCAGAAGAGAGGAGGAATACCGCGAAAGGGAAATGGATGGATCCTCCGAGCTGTACGAAGGTTCAATTAAAGCCGGTAAAAACGGGGAAAGAAGAAGAAGAACCTGGTAACCTTCCTGGAAGTAACTAGCGACCCCCAGCTTTACAACCAGTGCGTTGACTTCGTTTTTAAAGCGCACAACCGCCAATTGTATTCGTGTTTTGCCACTGTAGACACTTTTGGGCGTGCTCTCGCGTATGTAATAAATGAGGATGAGATTTTATGAGATTTTTATCGCTATCGAAGTGTGAAACTTTACGCTTAACTGATTAAATGAAACGATGAGATTGTTTTGAAATTAGAATTTGAATTGTGCATGATTTATTTTATATTGTTTCAATAACTTATATAATATCAAAATTTCTTTTCATGTCAACAATCAAAAATTCATTTACAATAAAATATATCGATATGATATAATTTCCATGGATAAGACATTTTTAGATTGATTGAAATATCACGCGAAATAATAAATCCAATGATGATATATTATTTTAATTAATAACTGTTCCTAATTGTAATCAAACCAAAGCGAAACGAAAATTAATAAATTTATCACGTATTCAATTCTATAAACCGAAAAAAGAATCGAATAAATAACATATATATATACAAAACCAACTCTATCCGTCGCGTCGCTAATTAATGTAACACACTTATTTTACCAAATACCCAATCAAGTACGCCCGTCCAACCGTGACTCGACTGGCATCGAGCGCGTTAAGGATGTTACCGTTAATGAAACGATTCCAATTTTCCCGAAGACAGGAATGCGATACAAGCACGGTTCGAGTACAGTTGGATCGCGTCCACGTTACACGCAAATCGGGTGTTGTTAGCCGCAAAACAAACTATCAGCTACTTTCACGGGAAACATCTCAGGTAGGACATAGAACGTTATATATGCGTTGCTCTGAGCAAAGTTTACACATACTTGGACGTGCAAAGGGGAGACAGGGGACAGGCGGTTTCCATGCTGTTCTCATCGTTTTTCACTGCCACTTCGTTAGTGTACACGGACACGGGGCACGGGAGTGTTTCCGCGAAGCGGAATTCCGCCGCCTAACGTCCACGGCCATAATTACAACACAGCCGAGCCGATGTTTTCGTTTTGATTGGCCAAGGTTCTTCTCGTGTCACTTGGCTCGATACTTGACTCGTGCAACAGCGAGGGAGAATCGTCGTATTCAATCGTGCTTTCCCTCGCTGCTTCTCCCTCTCTCT